TTTCACGAACAAATAGTATATTTTTGAAACGGAGAATAGAAAACATCAAAAAAAAAAAAAAAACGAAATGGAGATATCCTATTATTCGACTAAGATTTTTATGTTAAAAAAGATATTCCATTTCACGAACAAATAGTATATTTTTGAAACGGGGAATAGAAAACATAGAAAAAAAAAAAAAAAACGAAATGGAGATATCCTATTATTCGACTAAGATATTTATGTTACAAAAAGTGACGCGTTTAACATGCCACGACGTAAATAGGGGTTAGCGCCATGCTGTGGTAGATGTCAGCGAATTTTCCGGTTGTCGGGGGATTTAGATTCGCGACTACGTTACTGTATGCAGGAACAGGTACAGCTCGTGGTGGTGAAGTGACGTGATTATAAGGGGATGATTCAGAGAAGATTGACGCCTTATTTATCGATCTCGATAAATGTTAAATACTCGTTAATCGTTTAATTATATCAATAATGCAATATTTGTAAAATGATGATCTTTTTACCCTATATAATTATTTTTCGCCCACACACCTTTAGATTTCTCGCTGTAAGTTAAGAGGGCTGTTCGTTGCCGATTAATTCACGGACGATTCCATCTTCCGACGACCGCCTCTATTTTTAGCGGAGCATCTACGAGTCCTACTTAATTATCTCGCGTTTATTGCTGGGAGTCGCGTGGGGGCCAGTAGATACGCGATTCCCTGCGGTTTCCCTGCGATTCGTTTTCTTCGCTTCGATTTCTTCATCCATTTTATTTCGACGAATTTTTTTCAATCGTTTATAATCATTATCGGTTTTCTATACTAGTCGTGAATAAAAAATTTTACTAGCAAATCAAGTAACGAGAAAAGGAAAATGAAAGAGATGCTATTTTGACGGATACATTACATCGTAGTGCAATGCATCGAATGTTAGAGAGAAATATCGTGCGAAGAATTCGTACGACGAAATTGAGAAGCAACGAGAATGTTCCAAGTAGTTGCCGCTTCTTCGTCGTTGACGATCAGACCAAGTTGCGTAGGTTGATTATGAAGGATACCGAGGGAATGGTTGATCGAAGAGGAGGAACGTTTTGGCGTTGGTCTGATTCGAAATA